TTCCCAGGCACGTTCTTCGCCGCAACAGCAGCCCTAAGCTGAGTTCCCAGCTCAGGCGGGCCCGATCCGATGACTTGCGTCCTGCCCTTCTCGACTGTCTCGGTCATGAAAGCATCGACCAAGGAGGGAATATCCGGCCGTGCATTGTTCAGCCATGTGATAGTGAAGTTGGGGCATTGGCGACGGAGCTCCTCAACTTTGCGGTCGAGAGACATGGAGTCAATGGAAGAAGTTTGCGACAATGAGCCACCATCACTGAAGTCTTTGTCTTTATCATCGTGGAGCTGATGAGATGGCCTTTGGTACTTCGTCGTATCAGGTCGAGTCACAAAGATGCGAATCCTGAAGCGCTTCTTCGCCTCCACCGATACTATTGGTGCCTTCTCTAGCTTGTCCTCGGTGTAGTGTCGACCAGCACCAGCACCATCAAGTTGTGACTTCAGATAAGCGAGTTCAGGTGCGATCCAGGCAAGGTTCTCGAGGTGCCTTACTGTCCACACAAGTTCGATGTTGCGCGCAGGGGAGGCGTCGCTTAATGCGTGCATGATGACGGGAAGGGTATAGGTAATCCCTGTACCACCAGAGACAGCGAGAACGTTCGAGACCTCGTCGTTCGTGATTGCGCTGCCGTATGGTCCCATCATTATGACTGGCGTGGAGGCATCGCGACGAGGGTAGCACATGGCGGCTTGTTCAGCGAGAGCAGCAAGCTTGGCAGTCTCGCCTTTGCAGGCGCGGATGATGTATGTGTGACTCTGTACAGGCGAAGAACTTGTAGGATTGGAGGCTGGGGTGAAAGGATGCGATTGCCAGATGTTGAGCGCAGGGAACGTCAGGTAGTAGTGTTGACCAATCTCCCAGGCTTTGTGGCTGTGAGCAAATGTCATGCGGATAATGGTACCGGTTGGGTCCTTGAATGTTTCCATGGTTGTTGGGATGGAGCGGAAACCGAGACCGAGACTTCCGTCCTTGTATCCGGTGTGGATGAGCCAAGTGCGGACGCTGCGGGCGACCAAATCGAAGCCCATGATGGCTAGTGATGCTATCATCCAGCACGAAAGTTTCTCCCAGTGGCCCCAGCAGGCTCCCAGGTAGAGGCCAGCGACGATGAGATGCGATTTGCGGAAGAACTCATAACCCGTCCAGCGGATTACCGGCCTGAGACTGAAGACAAACAAGAAGGTGATGAAGCCTTGTGCGATACAACCCCAGATCATGTACTTCTGGCTGATGAATTCTCTGTACGTCGTTGGCTGGGGTTGGTAAAGCTTTGCTTCGACGATCGTCCACATGATGGCGTGTACGAAAGATTGCACAAGGATGATGCGGCCTGTCCAGCGGTGCAAGAAGTTGAAGCTTTGATACGGGATACCTGTGACCATGCTGAGCATAGAGTCGCGGCTACACAGAGCGATAGTCAGGGGAGTCAAAGCAAAGGCGAAAGCACCAACGCGATCGGCAAAGCCACCAATACCGCTACGGGTGTTGTGTAGGTTGGTGCCTTTGATGGGTGTAATCCATGTCTTGTAGGTGATCCCGGTGAACCTTTGAACGTCAGCTATGTTATGCCGTAAGGGTATCCTGACTTACGAAAAGACTGTCAGATAGACGCAGAGCAGCGCCAGGATCAGGACTTGCAACCTCGTAGTATATCTGAATACCTTGGAGCATTCAGGCATGAGATGTCGTCGTACAGTGGAAGATGTCAGCCTGACGAGGCGATACAACAGGCTCTGTCTGGCACCATCTCTTCTTCGTGGTCGAACAAGTCGAGATACGAGAATCGCAAGTAGGATCGCACCAAGCACAGCCCAGAAAATGAAGGTAAAGATCATTGAGGTTTGGTGATTGCCGTAAACGGAATCAAGATACTCGCACGACCCTGCATCATTGGTGCACGGGAAGTTCCGAACCGCATAACCCCAATAGTCGATGGTATATTCGACATCGGCATCGTTTTGGATGTGACGAGCGGCTAGCGCATTGTCGGTGAAGTTGAAAAGCATTGTAATGAGAGGACGCAGCGCAGCTGCAAAGCAAAAGGAACAACAACAAGGAAGAAAGATATATCGTAGTCAAACACAGCAATATGGCACGACGGCCTGGGAGGAAGTCCATCTAATAAATCGAGACTGCCACCCAATTCCGCAGGTTCCACTCCGTAATTGAACCAAGCCTTGTCGTGCGTTGACAGGATGTGGGTTCCGCTGTCAGGTTCCTTCGAAGTGAACGTCCAATCGTGTCGTTTCCGTTACTGGCGCTGAAACAGGAAGATACCCACCGACCCGCACTGATGGCGCCGTTCGTTTGGGAGTTCGGATCGGACGGGTATTCGGCAACAACGTCAGAGTTCGATGACAGCCGCAATAGCGACACGTCGTGAATAGCATTGTTGGCGTCGTATAGAAAATTGGGAGACAGCATGGTGTAGCGCATGCGTCGCTCTAGTCACGATGGACTCTTCTCGTGGACGTCGGAAGGTAGCAACAGGCTGTTGCGCAAGAGCCATGCGCCAAGATTTTTATGCTTGTGACTTGCTCTCGACTCTTCAGCCCAAGCATCAAAGGTGTGGCACCCCATCATCGTGCAATATGGGATCTTGGAAAGCAACTGAGGCATTCCAAGGTTAGGAGAGCACGAGCGCTCGAAACGCGTTCTCTCATCGCACTAACGCAAAGATCATGACGTAAGCGGTCGCGTCGAGAGAGTCGCTCTGATTGGCCAGCACAGTCCACCGCGACAGAAGCCCAAAGATGCAGCTGCGACGTGCACCATCTTCACGCCTTCACACAGTCCCGAGGTTGTGGCCCCATCGTACCGTCGACTTCGAACGCGCATTGTGTTCTCATCCATAATGAGCCGCTTTCTCACTTTATCTACACTGACCCGCCCGGCCTATGGCCGGGTCCCAGTCTTAGCTAAAGGCGCCTTCCCCCTCCGCCGAAACCTCGTTGTGCTTCGGTTATAGCCACTGCTCGTCCACGTGGAGACACATGATCGGAATACCACATTCAGAGCTTCAATTCCTTCAGAGGAATTAGTAAAGCCAGGAAAACAGTAAAAGCCGGTCCAGCCAACGAAAACAAAGACGTCCTGATTTCCACTATAAAGATACTCATCACGTTCTCAAGATCAGCTCCGGCGAAGATGTCACGAATTCCGTTTGCTACAACCTTTGCCGCGTCAACGTTGGGCGAGGGCCTAGCTAGTTCTTCCAGCAGGCCGGCCGAGAACAGGAATTGAGCTGCTGTTGCGAAACAAGCACCGGAGAGGGCATTAAACACCGGCCGAGACGTTAGCCAGCGCAGCCGGGGCTGATGGAGATATCTCACGTTACTACGGTCATTGAGAACGTCAAACTCACATACAGTGCGGAATTACGGGTAGTACCTTATGTCCGGCGCGGCACATTCAGCCAGTGTCAGCTTGGCCGCCCTGCCGGAGTTAATCGGGTGAAGAAGGTGCCTGACGCGTATTGAAGCAATATTGAATATATCTATGTCATTGCCCTGGTCTGGTCTAGCACAAAGATCTCGTCTCAATTCACAAACATCTCACTTTCGTCTTCAACACGGAAGCAACATGCCCTTTTCGTCCGCCCCTAAGACTATCGCTGGGAAGCCTGTCGGTTCCATCGGCTATGGTCTGATGAGTGAGTTGCCATTCAAAAGACGGCAATGCGCCGTCACAGTCGCTAAACATCATCTGCACAGCCCTCACGCTTTTCGGTGGCATTACTCATGACGAGGCCATCAAGCCAATGAAGGCCGCTTTGGAAAACGGTGCCACTTTTTGGAACGCTGTACGACCCGCGCCAGAAACGTTGATATAAAATATCGGCTGACATCCTTGTAGGGAACCTTTTACGGGCCTCCAGATGCAAATTCTCTCCAGCTCCTCAAGCACTACTTTACCAAGTATCCGGAAGATGCATCGCGCGTTGTGCTCAGCATCAAGGGCGCTTACGATGGAGCTACTCAGTCACCGACCGCTAGTCCCGAGGAGATTAGAGCCTCCGTTGACGAGTGTCTGACCTTGCTCGACGGTACCAAGACGATCGATCTCTTTGAGCCCGCGCGCGTTGACCCTAACGTGCCCATCGAGAAGACTGTCAAGGCGCTTGTTGAGCTGATCGAAGAGGGCAAGATTGGCTCCTATGGTCTCAGCGAGGTGAACGCTCAGACCGTCCGTCGTGCTCACGCCATACATCCTCCCGCCGCTGTTGAGATTGAACTGAGTCTGTTCTCTCAAGGTGCTCTAGAGGAGGCAGGCGTTGTCGACACTTGCCGCGAGCTTGGCATCCCCATCGTCGGCTACAGTCCCCTCGACCGCGGCTGGCTCACCGGACAGCTCAAGACTCTCGATGATATCCCCCAAGACGACTTCCGCCGTTTCTACCCACGCTTCCAGCCCGGCAACTTCGAGAAGAACGTCGAGCTAGCTGGTGCTGTTGAGAAAGTTGCCAAGAAGAAGGGGGCCACCAGCGCCCAAGTCGCCATTGCTTGGGTACAGCAGCAGGGTGTTTTGCCTATTCCTGGTTCTACCAAAGTGGAGCGTGTCCAGGAGAACACCAAGTACGTAGAGCTTACCGAAGCCGAGACTGAAGAGCTTCACGAAGCTCTTAGCAAGGCACATGTCTCAGGTCATCGATACCCTGAGATGTTCCAAGCTCATCTCGAAAAATAGTAGGGCGGCGTGAGTAGAACAGCTCGGCCCGCCTTTTGTACGATGGGTACTCGTTTGAGTCTTCTCGGTCGTGGAATGGCAATGAACCTTCAATGTCCACCCATTCTGTGTCTTCATCAGTTCAGTGCCTTGATGTATGACGCTACATTAGATCAAGATGTCAAAGGGACTTGAATTTAGGCTTTTAGGGAGTCTTCTGATACAAAAAAACCTCACGCGCGGACGCATTCAGTCCCAACTCTCGATACAGATCTCGGGAGCGGCCTTGCTCTCAAGATTTGCCAGTTTGTATGTACCAAGGTGCCCCACAAGGTCTAGCTACTCCTAGTGCTGCCAGCTTCCTCCACTTCATCTACCATCTGCTTCGTCTGCTTTGACCAATTCTCAATCTCTTCCTTCGCAGTATGAAGCCATCTCCTGGCAACATCTTCGCTGCTCATCCGGTTCGATTGCTTTCCACGAAGGGCCTGTTCGATAGCATATGATGCGTATTTGATAGATCGCTGATGCGCACCGAGAAACTCGATGAGCTGGACTTGATGTGTGGCTTTAGATATCTCTGAATCGAGGTCTTGGGAGGAAACGGTCGGACTGACTGCGGCTGCGGAGTCTGTTCGGCACAAAGTGGCTTCTGTGGTGTTCGCTTGCGGCAATTGGCAGTGCGTTTCTGGGGTCTTGTTCTCGGTCATTTTAGAGATTGTATTGAAGAAGTGGGAGACCAGGGCGAGCTGAAGATCAGGAGTGTTATCGCGCGTCCTTTTGCTCGCAACGTCACTCTGATTCTGTTTACTTATCCTCAATACCTCAATTCCCGTGTCTTCAATTAGCGAGCTATGATGCACCCCTCTCCAAGACGCAAACACCGTACGTCAGCGGTGTCCTCACATTCCGCCGCGCCAACATGGCCGTTCGATTCTGCGTCATACTTTGACAGCACATCGTCAGCTGTGAACGGGTAATATCCATAGTTCGTCGCGTTGCTTCTACGCAGTCACAGTTGACTTCAACCAGTGCACCTACCAAACAATACGCTTGGCCAACGGCTGAGCAAGGTACAGCCTAGCTTTTCCAACTCTTTACGCATGCAGCACTACGTTGCACGTGAAGCTCTGTGGACAGTCTCATGATGCGAGACTTTTCGCTGTTTTGGTGTAGCCGTCTTCCAAGCTGTCAGCCTTCTTGCAGCGACGGGAAGCGAGCGCAAAGCTAGCCGTTTTCAGCAACGCAACCCCACTTGTCCCACTCGTACGATCCATCACAATGCGTCATATCATGCGTCTCACCACTCAACCATCCAAGACGAAGCCATCATGCTTGGTACAGAATCTCCCAATGTGTTCTAGATAAGAAGTCGCGACTGCCTCGTAGCCAATGTACGCGTCATGACCTAGGTACCTGACCTTGGCGGTGCTGCCCTCCGCCTGTACATGTACTCAAGGCAGGTAGCATGCGCTAGAATTTACCTCCTGAGATCCGCTCTCGCATCAGCTCAAGTTTCTGAACACACAAAGATAGTTTAGTTTCTTGAAACTCCAACATGGCGCCGCTATCCGACTACATCAGCTTCTACACCTCCATGGCAAAGGCCATGTCTACAATCATCTTCGCACGCCTTTACACACCTCAACGCCCTCCCCACCGCGATCTACAAGGCCAAACTGCGATAGTGACAGGCGCGAACAGCGGTATAGGTCTCTCGATCGCGACTGCGCTAGCAAAACAAGGTGCAGTCGTGTATCTCGCCTGCCGCAATCTCGAAAAAGGCGATGCGGCCGTGGCTTCCATCGTTTCGCAACTCGGTTCCGAGGCTAGCAAAAGGGTGTTTTGCTGGAAACTCGATGTTGGAGATCTAGAAAGCGTACGTGCGTTCTGCGAGCGGTGGAAAGAGGGTGGCACAAAGATTGATATGCTTTGCCATAATGCTGGGATAGCGGGGCCGCCTGAAGGCTCGAGGGCTAAGGATGAGAAAGGCCGCGACGTGGTTCTTGTCACGAACTTCCTTGGCAGCTTCTTGATGACGAATCTGCTCGACGGGTATCTAGGCGAGAAGGCAAGAGTTGTTTTTACGAGTAGTACTGGGCACTACGCTGCAGCAGAAACTCTGATGCGCCCAAATCTGGAAGGCATGACAGCAAAGACCACTGGTCATGAGGACGGCGTTATCCAAAGGCTCAGGGGAAAGGCAAAGGCGTACCTTGGTATAGGAACAACTACCCTTCAATCATACGCGCTCTCGAAAGCACACCAAGTCCTCTTCGCCGCTCTCCTCCAGCGACGCTTCGACTCCACCCCACACAACCAACGCTCGGCGCACTCCTTTAGTCCTGGGTTTACGTCTACTCCTATCTTCGGCAAATTCGCCGTCTCTTGGAAGACATGGTTGAGCAATCCTCTTTTCGCGGTACTTAAGACGACGGAAAGGTATGTCGCGGTGGATACGGACGAGGGCGCAAAGACTGGGGCTTGGTTGGCCAGTTGTGGTGGGGAGGAAGGGATAAAAGGGGGGTACTGGGAGTGGATGAGTAACAGGATGAGCCTTGTTGAGTTTGTGGAAAGGCAGCTTGGGGAGAAGGAGTGGCATGTGCAGTGTGAGAGAGTTTGGCGAGGATGGGAGGAGGATAGTGGCCGTACTTGGGTCACTGTCAAGACTTGATGTAGTGCTGATAGAGTCGGTCGGAGCAGAATCAGAAGTCAAAAGTGATTTGTCCTTTTGATCTTCTGTCTTTCTAGTTCCCTGTCCTACCTGGACTCAGATAGTGACCTATTCCTGAAACGTGTTAGAGTAATTTAGGTGTTGCATCGAAAGAAAGCGAGGTCGCTATAGAACGTAGCAGTGGCATAAGACACAGCCTATAATCTCACAAGTAATACGCTTACCTCTACACAAGTTTGAATATCATGACCATGATGTAAGCAGTTTATATTGGGACTAGGGACGAAGGGGGTAGCAAAAAGGGGTTGCTTGACCCGGCCTAGGGATGTAGGTGATCAACTACATGGGCAAAGGTCTAGCAAAAATAAAAGAAACATGCACAACATGTAGCTGCTCTCGGTTTCGATCCGAGGTCCTCCGGGTTATGAGCCCGGCGCGCTTCCGCTGCGCCAAGCAGCTTTTGGCAGTTGCTGCTTGATGTAAATCTTGAGAACTAATACACATATCACTGCTACTGCTACTATTCCAACCCGTTCTGACCTCGTGTTAGCAGAATATACCAACGTCGAATAGAAAAAGAGTAGTTGAAAGTCGGGCTGATCCATTCACCAAGGTGACAAAAGTGGGGCGGGGTATGACTCCGATTTGACTCCTCGCGAACACTGGAGAGTACAAAATTTACTTCCTAACTGCTCAGGTGTCTTGTACGCGTAGAAAGCGCTAAGGATGTGGAGCGTAGTGCATTGTGCGAGGGGCAGATTGAAGCTCTTGTGAAGATGCAGGGTGTTCGAAAAGACGAACACAGAAAAAATAACGAACCGCAAATTCAGGTCGTAACAAACATCAAAATCTGAAAGTAAGATAGCGTGGTGTGGTTGATCATTATATTGCTGCGGGACAAAATTGCTGTCAAGCATCGTGGGCAAGTCAATCGATTGCATGGGACGAAAGCGAAAGCGGTTAGCGGCAAAACGCGCTCCAACGCGACATCTGGACGCGTCCCACGCACTTTAGATGTCCGCTCCGTCACCCGCGTCTCCTCCAACTCCAACCATGACGCCTGCCAGAACCAATGAGTAGCTATTCACCAGGCATTCCATCCTCTTTTGACCCCGCGCTACTACATTCCGAATTCGAATTCCTCGACAACGCGCCCGCCCCATCCTCCCATTCCGACGAACTAGACGCATTGCACGACTGCATCGCCGAAGACACCGCAAAGAAGAATAGTGCCGGTGTCGTCATACAGCATCGCGCCTGGAACGTAGCGGATATATTCAGGAGTGAGGGAGAAGGACCAACTGGTACTACCAGCGTGCACGCGCGCTGTAACCGGTACTAATCCCGCCAGACACGCCTGCAAAGCGCCAGAAGCAGTCACCAGTCAAGCGCCTCCCTACACAACCTTCAATTGACATCACAACATTCCCTTCGTCGCCTCCGACTTTCGAAATGCCGCTCATTTCGTCACCCATCGCATACCCGCCGAGCTCATCGATGCCACAGCCGCCCTCGCCGAAGAAGAGGAAGCGCCCAGAAGACGCACGAGAGCCACTCAAAGATGTGCCAAACAACAATGCAACACGCAAGATTGGAGGCTTTTTGGACGACTCCGACGACGAAGAAGACATTGCGGCCCTGAAGGAACACACGTTGAAGCGGAGGGCTGTCAGCAGCATCAAAGACCTCCCAGCTGTTCCTGAAGGCTTAGCAGACTACACACCCCCTGCAAGCCAGGACGAGTATGCAGACCCCGAATCGATACCGGTAGACGATCTAGACAACTACAGCTTCAAGTCACAATCACAATCGCCGGTAAAGCGGCCGCACACATCACATCAGCCAACTTCAGCACAATCTGCACCGGGCATTCTGGCCCGTAACGCGTTGGGGAAGGCCTTTCATATAGGCAAGAAGGCCCAACGCGAGACCCAGACATACGAAGAGATCATTGCAGCACGATCCGAACCCGTGGAAGGAAAGGCCCGGACGAGTTACTATGGTCTCAATATTCATCAGCTCATGGACGAGGCGAAGGCGCTTGATCAGGAGAAGGCCATGAATGCGTCTCTGAAGAAGCTTGACCTAGCAGCACAACCGTCGATCGAGCAGCCAGTGGCCAAAAATGGAAAGACCAATCGTACACTCATGTGGACTGAGAAGTACCGAGCGAAGAAGTTCACAGACTTAGTGGGAGACGAACGTACACATCGATCTGTGTTGCGGTGGCTGAAGGCGTGGGACCCAATCGTATTCCCCGGTTCGGGCAAAGCGAAGCCCAAGAAAGCAAAGGACGGGTTCCAGGAAGACGAACAGAGACACCGCAAGATTTTGCTGCTGACTGGGCCTCCGGGGCTCGGAAAGACAACCTTGGCTCATGTCTGCGCACGACAGGCAGGTTATGAAGTACAGGAAATCAACGCTTCGGACGAGCGCAGCGGAGCCGTCGTCAAAGGCCGCATTCGAGATATGGTGGGAACTGAGAATGTCCGCGGTGTCAATACCAGCACCGTGAACGGCAAGGTGCGAAAAGCTGGAAAGCCAGTATGCGTTGTGGTCGATGAAGTAGATGGTGTCGTTGGCAGCGGAGGCTCAGGCGAAGGTGGCTTCGTCAAGGCACTTATCGACTTGATAAATCTGGACGAGCGAAACACAAAGGCAATCGGTCAGCAGCAGTCAACAGCGGGCACCAAGAAGAAGAAGGGTGACAACTTCAGACTCTTGCGACCACTCATCCTTATCTGCAACGACCTCTACCACCCTTCGCTGCGGCCACTGCGACAGTCCTCAATGGCTGAGATTGTGCATATCCGTAAGCCTGCCCTCAACATGGTCGTCTCGCGCATGCAGGAGATCTTCGGCAAGGAAGGCATCCAATGCGATTCGGATGGCGTGCGCCGTCTCTGCGAAGCTACGTGGGGTGTCAGCACAAAGAAAGAGGGCGGGACGGGCAGTGGCACTGGCGAAGGAGACATACGTGGCGTTATGGTGGTGGCCGAATGGATAGCAGCTCGGTTACGATCATCACACGATGTG